AAATGTACAGCTAAAGCATCCAGAAAGCTAGAAACCTTCCACCAGAGAAACCTGAGGAGGATACTGAAGGTGAGGTGGCAGGATCACATAACGAACGATGAGATCCTGAACAGGGCCAAGTCCAAGCCTCTGAGTACCATCATAACAGAGAAAATGATGCAGCTGGCAGGACATATCCTCCGTCTGCCCAGCAGAAGGCACTCTAAGACAGCGATGACTTGGGTACCCCACAACGGCAGAAGAAAGAGGGGAAGGCCGAAACACACCTGGCGCAGGACCTTCCAAGACGATCTAAGAAGGGCAAACATCCCCTGGGAGGAGGCGGAGACAGTGGCCGCTGACAAAAAGAAGTGGAAGCTTGCTGCCCGATGTGCCATTGGCACAGGAGGAACTAAGGTAAGGTAAGGATATTATTATGACAAGAACCTGATGAATAACAACTGAAAATATATATAAAACAAATGAAAAGATGAAGTGCTGTGTACAGACTCTCATACTATCCACATCACTTACTATCCAAGCAGAACATCTGAGTGAACTATGGTATAATACTCAAATCATGCAATAATACATGTACTAACAAGAGGCTATCAACTTACTGAGTGTTTTCCAGAGCGTTAATCTCTGCTTCATCCTCTGGATCACAGACATTGAGATGGGATAGGCTGTATGAATTATAAAGTGAACATTTTCATTACACCAGTTTGAAATAATTTTTAAATAATGTAAATATTCTCTTCACATGACTTCTTTATAGATTGAAATGGTAAATGTCATGTTCAAAAAGCAAACTCGAGTCAGAAAATTTTAGCACTTTCACATATACAGAACATACTAGTATTTCCAACATCTACAATCATAAAAGTTCATCTGTGTTGCTACATGTAGTTACATGAAAGTTACATTTCTACAACGTTTGATCCAAGTCATCATCCAAATTGCAATCCAAACATCTTCGTGCAAAAGAAAAATTTCCTGCTCTCCAGTTCTTCACTTTCTGAATGTTCACCCACACTAGACACATCACCAGCATCAAAGGTAGGTGGCTGTGACAAAGTCTGTGGGCTGGACGACCTGGGAGCAACCATACAGGTACAGGTACAGGTGGGGGGCTGGGATGCAGAAACCTGGAAACTGTTCAAAAACCATGTGATTATTTCCTTACATTTTATAGTTGGTGAAATTCCCTGCACTAAAATAGCCCATATAATTTTCATGTAGATAGTATCTATTTTCTTTCATTGCATTCAATGCATTTCTAATGCATTCACATTCAACAGTTGGCAATTTCAATTTGTGAATTTCACCTAAACTAACCAGCATTGCAAGCAGTACCACTCATACCACTACCAGCATTACTTTCATTACAAAAATAGTATGTTTAGTCCTGATTTGTCAGAACACAATCAAGTACCGCTAGTATGACTTTCACCGCTCGTGCTTCTGCATAAATCTACTAAATTATGACTCGGTCCAACACCCATGACATCTAGGTCAACTCGGCGCATAATTTACCCTACTCGAGGCTTGGATTCACAAATCTATACAAGTTCGAGTTTATACAAACTATAAATATGACCAAACTTAGGGATTTTTCGCAAAAATTGCAGAGGGCAACACAGAAATTATAAAAGACAACTGATTTACGAACCTCTCTCACGTCTACGACGAGTCAGTTCCCAAAAACCTCTGTTTGATCGGCCATAGAATTTTTTTGATCTCTCAGCTTTCCGTCTATCTCCATAATTACTACAGAGATTCCGCCTCAAAACACATACAACAAGCTAAAACTGAACACAAAAAGGTCCCATGTAACCTATGGCTATGTCTAACTGTAACAAGTTTTGTCGAAGTTTCAGATGGCCCGCATATTTTTGTATGAACATGTTCGAAGACGAACAGAACCGAGAAAATTTTACAAACCTGTCCAACAAACGCCGCGCGAGTGCGCTGTCGCTCTCCAGTCCCAGTCGATCCTTCAGTTCCCTCCACTCGACTTTCGTGTCTTCCCCTAACGCCACACGACTTCTGAGCTTCGCCTGGATTCTCCTTTTCTTTGCTGGTGTCCCAACACGAGGCCTTCCACGGCCACGCTTTTTCGGGTTTGGTGTGGTGCCATTGACGTCCGCCATCTTGGCTCGGCTGAAACTTCGCGCTCGCCGTGACGTCACGCGGCCGGGATTTGCCGAGAGGTGCCGAGTGAAAACGGTTACTGGGGGCGATATTGCCTGATTTTTGGGGATGCACCCCTAAAATAGAGGACACTAGTTTCTGCGCTGTTTTAAACGCGTAAAGTATGAAATTCTGACGCAGATGTGCTAAAGTGAGGTAGTATGTGTCAATACCAAACAGATTTCCTTTTTCAGAATATTTCAGTTTTAATGCAAAAAAATCGCACTGGATGCCTTTAAGTATTTAATGTGCCTTCTCTGTCTGCTAAAGGCAACAAAACCGAAACGACAAATGAAGGCCATGTATACAACTACGTCGACTCAGATGGCATCAGCGACAATCTACGACAGCAATCAGATGGTCATGCAGTTACAGACCGCAGCAATTCTGGCCTAATTGACAATACGATGTATGTACCTGGTGTCTTACGACAAGGTAAGCACAGAAGTTTGTTTCTGTTACAATCATTGTAACCAAACTTTCCGGTTAGCGTACTGAGTAAGTTTAAAGTCCCAACTGCTGTTTACCAACACCTGTGGACAAGCGTTTTTGAAGTTAAAATTTTAAACCATAAAGTTCTCTCACCTAGAGCCTTCATTTAGTCACTCTGGTCGTCTTCAGTATACTGACCCAGTGGGGCTTACCACGTGGTTCCTTTGACTTCAACATTGGGTTAAAAGTATCTTGTAGACGATGTCGGCGCCCGTCGCGGTTGAGTGAGGGGTGATGAGTCCTGGTGTAAATAGCTTTTTTTTCACCCCATTTAGGAAATAGTCTTGGACATGCACAAAGCATTGAATACACGGTAAAATTCCGGTAAATATGATGATGTTGACACAAAATTCAAACAAGATTCAATAGACAATTATTTGATTCCCCTCAGATACCAATGCTGATACAAACATCTCTAGATTTTTGACAAGCTGCAAGATGGCGTTTTGCCGTTTCCTACGGTTTATCATCATCGCTATTGCAGTGTTGGCCTTGTTAGGTGCAGGAGCTGGTATCATCATGTACTTCACTGCCACTGGTACACTCGGAGGGCCAGCTGAAATCAACATGGTTAGTTTTCTACTTTAGTCTGTTGTAATTTTAATTTATATAAGTTCCACACATATCACCAAGAAGTTGTAACTTATACAGATTTAAATATATAATTATTCAAAAAAATGCCATGCAAAAATAGGTAAATACATAAAAGACTTTTTATAAAAAAAATGCCGAAACTCATTATTAGCCCTACTTGATTGTATACTGTATTAGCTCTTGATGTAATTAATTTTTATTCTATACCCTTTTTTGTACTTTCAATACCCGTTGCAATAAATTCTACCATGTACAGTTGTTGTGCAATAAACACTTCTTCTCCTCTAAGAAATATTGTTATGTGGCTTTTATGTGAATTATTCGACAAATGTGGTGAATGCCAATGATAAATGAACCAAAGTTATAAATTATACCTAGAGAAGTTGTAACATTGTAATATGTACCTCTTTTTATAGCCCTCTGCGGGAACTGATCGAGGCAATTGGGAAACTGCTAAGCCTGTAACAACCACCGTGACTGCAACCTACCTACCAGTCACTTTGACAAATACAACCTTTCTGTCTGCTACTAAACTGAAACGGACAACAAACATGTTTCTACCATCAAACGAAACAGCAACAACACCGATACCTACAGCTCAAGTAAGGAAAACCTTAGATGATTTAGGTTTTGCACATGCACAGTTGTTTCGGCAATCAAACGTAGCCCCTTAACATTGTGTTTTGTTGTTATCAAGGCACTCGATGGATACCTTTATACTGACCACATTTGATTTACGTCAACAGGCTACCGGTCATGATGTTGTGAGAGCAAGAAAACTGCCCACACGTGACAACCACACTGCCACAGGTGACAACCACACTGCCACCGGTCACAACCACACTGCCACAGGTCACAACCACACTGCCACAGGTCACAACCAAACCACCGAAGATGGCAACTACACTGCAGTGTTCAGAGCTGACACCACCAGCAAAAGGATCCATGACTGGCTCCAACTCCTACAGAGACGTGGTTTACTTCAGGTGTGCCCCAGGATACAAGCTGGTCGGTGATTCTCCACTTACCTGCCAGTCTGACGGGACTTGGAGTGGAACGTCTCCAACATGCATTAAAGGTTGGTAATGCAGAAAAAA